ATGCTAATCTTAATATCAGCCATTTAGGAAACAGAAACCAGGAAGCATTTAAAGATCTTGTCATAGTCTTGAAATGGGTTGCCTTCCAGAGCGTTAGTCGCTAAAATAACACACATTTCCCTCTGCTTGAAGGGTTTGTTTTTAATTGTTCTTTCAAACTGAGAAATATACCAGAACAGCAATCAAACGTGTTTAAGGACACAACAGCAGAAGACAGATGTACCTAAGATATAGTTTATGAATTGTTTTGGCCTTACAATGAGCACATCTACAGCTAAACAGTGATTTGGACCCTGAACCTCAGAGAGCATATGCATAATTCATGCATCTCATAATTCACGCCACGGTATGGGTCATACCAGGTTTATCATGCTTCGCTGTGTCAGTGGCCATGATTTATTCAGCCCTCAAAGGATCGTTCTTTCATGGTCTATTCTCAAAGTTTCACCACTTTCTCCCGTGACTCAACTATGCTATGCTGGTCATTTAGGTTGATTGTTAAGTAATTGTTGGAACATAACCATCATTTTGAAAATCTTTCCTGTTTGTTAGGCTGATTTAGAGATGACTAAATACCAAAATCCCCCTTACTAACAAACAGAAATTGGATGCACTTTATATTGCACAAAATGAGCAATAGCTCAATAAACCACACACACACACACACACACACACACGCGCACACACACACACACACACCATGTGTTGAGTTACGACTCTGAATACTACAAATACTGTCTGAAAAGCCAAAGAAATGCAGCACAAAATCATGAGCACTGTTATCATCTTCTGAGGCAAGATGAAAAGAAGAAATACCATCTAAACTTTTCTAAAGACAGTAAGTCCCCCTCAGACATGCATTCATATAAACTCCTACCCCTAATTGAATCGCGATTTGTTTAGCATCTCAACCGATTTGAATCGTCACATATTTTAATCAATTTTCAACCGGTTCGCGGTTAATCGTTACATCCCTAGTCGTTCCATAAAGTTTTCTTATATGTTTTTGCACCAAAAATAATTAACTCTGAAATGATGCTTTCACAGTGAAGCGGTGCTAAATCCTTGCTAGAGGGCATATGACTTTCAGGTGTTTGCTTTGTGCTTGAAAATATGCATCTGGGCTCTTTGATGCTCTAGATCTTGATGGATTTTTCCAGAGACCAAACATGTGGCATTTCTGAAGCACGGACACATTTAAACACAAATAAAAAATACATTTGGAAGTGAAATGTTTACAGTGTTCCTCATCGGTATGCTAATCTTAATATCAGCCATTTAGGAAACAGAAACCAGGAAGCATTTAAAGATCTTGTCATAGTCTTGAAATGGGTTGCCTTCCAGAGCGTTAGTCGCTAAAATAACACACATTTCCCTCTGCTTGAAGGGTTTGTTTTTAATTGTTCTTTCAAACTGAGAAATATACCAGAACAGCAATCAAACGTGTTTAAGGACACAACAGCAGAAGACAGATGTACCTAAGATATAGTTTATGAATTGTTTTGGCCTTACAATGAGCACATCTACAGCTAAACAGTGATTTGGACCCTGAACCTCAGAGAGCATATGCATAATTCATGCATCTCATAATTCACGCCACGGTATGGGTCATACCAGGTTTATCATGCTTCGCTGTGTCAGTGGCCATGATTTATTCAGCCCTCAAAGGATCGTTCTTTCATGGTCTATTCTCAAAGTTTCACCACTTTCTCCCGTGACTCAACTATGCTATGCTGGTCATTTAGGTTGATTGTTAAGTAATTGTTGGAACATAACCATCATTTTGAAAATCTTTCCTGTTTGTTAGGCTGATTTAGAGATGACTAAATACCAAAATCCCCCTTACTAACAAACAGAAATTGGATGCACTTTATATTGCACAAAACGGTCACGGCTGTCATCCGTCAGGATGGAACGACAACAGCTTTTTTTTTTTTGTAGCTGTTCTTATATTTAATTGATCGTTTTGAGCATTATAAAAAGAAAAAGTGCGCTTTTTTACAGACATTCACAGGCTAATTTTGAAGTATTACCAAACAACAAAGCTAATGCTTTTCACACAACTTACGTAATTACCCATTATACATTGTGATATTTGTTGGTCTGTTAGATCGGAGACACCGGCCCTCCAGGACCGAGTTTGGACACCCCTGCCTTAAAAGGTCTTAAATCAAAGCAGAAAGTCTTAAATTCATAACGTAATGGCATTAAATGTTGCATACACTAAAACAAAACAAAAAAAACTAAATATCTTCCTCAGTATGTTTGTCTTGTTTTCCAACACAAATGTCTAAACAAACTTTAAAATCAAGATACATTTACTTGATACAAAATTAATATTATGAAGTCTCATTTTCTGAGAAATTGAACAAAATTAAGTGAGTTAATGCTTAAAACAAGAAAAAAAATATATCAATTAGCTATGAAATAATCTCAGTTACGTACGTAACCCTCGTTCCCTGTTGGAGAGAATTGAGATGTTATGTCGTGACGACTTACTTTGGAGCTCCAATCACCTCTGAGTTTAAGAGTAAAGGCCAATGGAAATTGGTGAGTGGATTTTGCATGTTAAGCCACTCCCCCCATCCACTCATTTAGGTTTATGCGGAAGAGATAAATGCATCTTGATTTAAGAATGTTTACATATTTGCACTGGAAAACAAGACAAACACACTGAAGCAAAACGCTTAAAACTGAATTAAAAGTAATTGAGAGTGGTTTGGAAATTGAATTTTAATACAATGCATTATGTTCTTCCTAGACATTTACATTTAGAGAACACATTGATGTATTGCGTTCCCTTTAATATATTTTGTTAAAGTTTACTTTTAAAAGGGTCTTTAAAAAAAAAAAAATCTTCAATTTACCTTCATAAAACCTGCAGAAACCCGGCAAGAAAGAGTGTATATTTTCTATATTTATAATTGGTTGCATTAATGCATGTCTGGAATCTGTGTGCAGCAAAAGTAGTCAAGTAGAACAGTCACTGTGAATAAAGGCATCTGCTAAAATGAATAATGTAAATGTCATGTATGTCATATATAGATATACATACATAAATAATGACAAAATTTTATTTTCGGAGTAAAAAACAATCTTTTAAATGAAACCCAAAAGCCTGGGAAAGATTGGTGAGGGACCAAGGTGGCAATGAGATGGAAAATCACACAACATTTAGGAAATAACTCAAATGTACACAATGTTCTTGAACCCCTCACCCCCAAAAGAAAGTCTAGAAGAAAGTAGCACAATTAAATTTGACTCCGCTGAGGTTCATCGTGTTCATGAGAAAACCATGTTCTGGCATGAGAGTCCCAACAAAGAAAAAGCAATTTTATTACCTGTCTGGGTCCTCTCCAAAAAGAGCTCTATAAACAACTTACAGAAATAACAATGGGTAATACCACACTTGACAAACTTTAACCACCATATCCAAACCACATCAATTTATTTTCCGGTAGTCTTAGGACCATTAGGTCAGTGTTGGAACGATTTGTCCTTCCAAAGCATCCAGAATGAATGTATCACATTTGTGCTAAATCCTCACTTGCAGGTCAGAGACTACAGCTGCAGTCCACATCATGTCTGTCTTGAAATCTTTAAAACCAAACAGATTTTCTTCAGAATATGTTTTTAATCTCTAATCAACCCTCAATATCACTATTCTGACATTTTTGTTTTTGGTCTTTTATAAAACACATTTAATTAGCAAAAGCCAGTTCTGTCCTCCAGGAAGTGACAACAGCCAAAACATCAGTAAGTATTATGAGTGGATTAGTCTAGATTATTGTAATGTGCTACTCATGGTTGTCCTGCTGGTTCAATTAATAAGCTCCAGTTGGTTCAAAATGCAGCAGCCATAGTGTTTAAGAGCTTTTTAATTTAATTTGAATTTTTAAATTCACAAAATGAAGTAGATCCATTATTCACCTGACTCTTAAACTATGGAATTGTCTTCCTAGGTTTTTATGCAAAGATTTAGAAAATTATCAAATATTGTGTGTAACCAATCAGAGTCTCATCTCCCATTCCCTTTAAAGGCCAGTTGTGCTCGCGCCATGGCGGATTCGCTATTTACATGGTGGAATTTGCAAGAGCAAAGACTGAACGCTTTCTCCAGAGAGGAAAGGTGCTTTAAACTCGCGCACGAGCATACCATCTACCGGGCACAATTATGACATTTTACATGGTAATCCTTTCATTTTTAATATTTGGCATGTTTGTGCACTGCTGCGTGTCACTGTGTGTAATAAGCAGAATGTACGCGCGTTGTTCACCCGCCTATAGGCGCATATCACTAACGCGCTCTTTAATTAACAAAAAAATAAATATTGCGGCATTGACTTCAGACCAGGTTTCAGTTGGTCAAAGGTGCAGTCTACTTCAGATGCCTCAAAATAGCAATGTGCCTGAACACACCTCGTTTGCAGACCAGCACGCGCAAATGGGCGCAAATGCATTTGCTATTTAAAGGGGTCATATGATGCTGCTAAAAAGAACATTATTTTGTGTATTTGGTGTAATGCAATGTGTTTATGCGGTTTGAGGTTTAAAAAAAACACATACTACAACTTAACCACTGATTTCTAGTCGTGTCTTCTTTTGGAAGGCCAAACAAAGTACTTTAGCTTTCACAACTAAACACACAGCATCACACACGGCGGGCTAGAGTGAGTGGCTGCTGGTGAGCTTGAGTGAGGAATGGCCGGCGGGCTTGCGGCAACCACATGAATAAACTCAATGCACACAGACTGAATTACTGAAATAAATGAACTTTTCCTCGACATTCTAATTTATTGAGATGCACCTGTGTAACAAAGCAATCATGACTATGAATTTTATTAGGGCTGAAGGGTGTCACTTTGCTGCATGCTGTTACTTTCAGCCAGGATTATAGTCACAATAGAACAAGATTTTAGAAGATCTCACTGAAATGAAGAGCTGATAATGTAGGACTTTTTCAATCTTTGTTGGACATCCATGTTTGCTGTGGCTCTTACTTATAAAGGCTGTCGGGCTCCAGGCACTTGAAAAGGAGAGAGTAGATCATACTGTGAGGATGTTCTCCACTTCTGCGTCCTGCTACCACACACGATGAGCCCAGACCCGAGAAAAGGTCATCCATGAGGCTTAGAACCTCTCCTGAGAAACACAGAAATGGACAGAAGGACATTTATATTAATAAAGGACTAGTACGTCCAAAAATTATGATTCAGCACTCTTAGGGAAAATAAAAAGTACAAAAGATATACATTTAGGGTTACAACAGGTTGTCATTGGGGTAGTACCAGTGACATGTATGTATAAGTACAAGTATATTATCACCTAAAAACTCTTAAAACTACATTCCGTGACACAAAAACAGTATTATTTTAAATTACAGGAATTGGGCATTCAGCATGACACTCGCTGTGAGAAATATGGCAAGTAGAGTTATCCAAACGGTGAAATGGTTGGAGGAGAGCTTTTATCTTATCTTAGTTCTTTGTAGTTTGTAATAGTTCTTATTCATTTTCATTTTTCAAGTTATTTTAGTACTTCAAGTACCAACATCAGAAACTATGTCTTGGCAAATAGCTGAAACAAAATAAGTTTAATACTACGTTAATATTTATTTTATTTCAAGTAATATTTCTGTTGCGTATACAGCTAAACGCGTCTCTGTGTGGACGGGGCCTTAGTTATTCAGTGCGGCAATTCAGCACGTAACACAAGAACCTTTTATTTTTTTATTATTTTTTTATTTGCAAATGTATTGTCACCATTCAGTTTGGTTTTATAAAATGAGTATGCATATTCAGTTCAACATTTACTTGCATGCTCTACTGAGTAAATCAAATATATTTATTTCCTGCAAATAGCAGTTTAACAAACAAGAAAACTCAGCTTAATATATAATATTAATAACAGTCATTTGCTAAAATCAGTTCCCAGCATGACCTAAGAGGCAAAGCGGACAAGAAAAATGCAAGCAGCAAAAATAACAATTGACACCTCCAATTTTAGCCACTCTGGAGCTAGACGAACATGTGTCGTAGGCTCACATCAGTTTTTAACACGTTCCAAAATACATATCAAAATGGCAGAACGTGTCTGCATTGTGCATCCCAAGGGTACAGTAAAAAATGGGCAACAGAGGGGAGGTCTAGAAAGGGGGGATTGAGTGAACGAATGATTTAGCCACTTTCCCAGAAAGCACATTGTATATAAGGGAAGCTTCCCGCTCACATTCCAACACCTCAAGAGTGCCCAAGCCAAGATCTTTTTTATAAGGTCTCAAAACCCTTTGCTTTCACTTTGTGGCCCCCATGTCTAAAGAACTTCTGTATATTTTTGACAGTCATGAAATGGAAAACAATGGAATGTTAAGTCCACATATGACCTCAGAGGTTCCGTGTTGAATAATCCCAATGATGGAATGACCCTAAATGAATGCATTTCGTCTCGTCCAAGAGGCCCAGGTTCTGTTTCTCTTATGCCTCCCTTGAAGTTGACCATCAAAACAAAGCATAGAGAATAGTCCAGTGTTCTATAGGCTAAAAGGTTGTGTGAGGCTGTGATGACAGTAAACAAAGACTGCTGCAACTAACAATTATATTGATAATTTATTATTCTGTTGATTACTTATTAGATTAATCGGATTAAAAGCCACATTTGTTCTATATTTTACATAAATAATAATAATAATAGTAATAAATGATCGATATCTATAAATACAGCAGAACCACACTGGACATGTACACATATATTTGGTTAGAAAAAACCAAAATCAAAAACTAAAGCATGGCCTTTGTTCAAGAGCACCCAGTTCTGTCTTCAGGCTCATGAACTGTGTAAACATGAGCTGTTATGATTTTACCGTATGTGTGGCCCTGGTTTGAACTATATAGGAATAATTTATGGAACATATCTGCAGTTATGCTTCGTTTGCTTGAACCCACACACCCAGAAGACGCCACCTGTTTTGTGTTAAACATTAATTGTACTGAAAGAACTGTATAGCAATGCCATGCACACACAGATGCGTCTCCCCTGCAGCACGGGCCATGATTAGCTAAGTGACACTTTTAGAGCGGTCTTGCCAGAAAACAAGCCAGCCGGGTTTTCTTGGATTGTTCGGGAACCGTGTGAGACCTGTTCAGTTTGTTTCTTCGCACTATTAGCAGTGAAAGGAGGTCAAGAAGTGCTTAAGATTGACTATCTGTATTACACCGCCAGGCTCTCGGTCAATTACCCTCACATTGACACAAAAATGCATGGAATGCATGAGCGGAGCCAGATTTCACAGGCCCCCTGACAGCTTCAAGCGAAGAGAATGTGCAATGGTGAAGGGAAATAAGAGGCTTTGATAGGTACGGCAGAAGGCAGGGGGAGGAAAACTCTGTTTGATGTGTCCGCATGAGGTTTGACTCGAAATGCTATCTTTGTATGTTTTGATAATCAGAATAAATCAATAGTCCGGTCCATGACTGGGAAGGAGGAAAGCGGTCACCCGTGGGGCTGTTTCAGGGGTTTGCTAGTAATTATCACATACTCCAGCAATCCTAAAGGGGAAAACAGTAAAAAATAAGTCAACAAGCCCCAGAAAGGAAATCTATGCACACGTCCAAAATGATCACCCACATCTGCTTTGGTGCTTAAGACCTGGACGAATTAGAGCTGAGACGTGCGTGCTATATCTGACACGACTTACATTTACACAGTGGAGCGATTACATCCAGACTGAGAATCTGCAGTCTGCGCTTGGAGATCTGACATCGGGTTTGACAGAGTCGGAATCTCAATGTAAAGCTTAGGTCTACGGCACACGTGTTCGGCATACAAAACTCTCTGCCACCATTCTTCCGTTCACTGCACACAGCGAACACGGATCTCATGGGCTTGTGTGTGTGGACATCAAAGTTGCATGAGTCACATGTTTCCAGATTTTTGTATGTCCATTCGGAGGAGTGTCGGCACTTTAAGGTAGGCTGGAATGAGGGGGTTTGACACAAGCCTTCTTCCATATACTCTCAGAAAATAATGTGCAAAAATTATACCTTTAGGGGTACAACAGCTTGTCACTGGGGCAGAACCCTCAAAGGACACTTGTACCTTCTTTAACCCTAAAGGGCTCATAAAAGTACCGTAATAGTACATATTACTACCGTAAGGGTACATAATGCTACTCTAAGGTACTAATATGCACCATAAAGAAGGTGCAAAGGTATCCCTTTGAGGGTACTGCCCGAGTGACAAGCTGTTGAACCCCTAAAGGTACAATTTTTGCACTTTTTTTCTGACAGGGATATGGTGGCATCTGCACAGCATTTTTAAATACTTTATGTTTGTGTGAGTTCATACATGGCAATGCCTGCTCTTGAAGTGTTACTCACTCTCATTTGGCTGTTTGTGAAATGGCCAAACTACATGGTCTTATGTTAGTTTTGAGTTTGGATGCACATTGCCGCCTTATGCAACTCCTGGCTGGATTTGAGAAAGGTTCAGAGAAACATACGTTTCCATATTTACAGTGATTAATGTGAGTAATAATAATAGCAAACCGATAACGTCAAGTGTAGGACAGGTATAGGACAGGAAGAGCTAAATAAACTGATCACTGCATCTAAACCAACAACATGCCTGTTAGATCCTGTACCCACTAAATTAATAAAAGAGTTGTTACCTGTAGCAGAAGAACCGCTTCTCAATATTATTAACTCGTCGTTGTCTTTAGGTCACGCCCCAAAACCATTCAAGCTGGCGGTTATTAAGCCTCTTATTAAGAAACCACAACTAGATCCTAGTGAACTGGCAAATTACAGACCCATTTAAAATCTTCCTCTTATGTCTAAAATTTTAGAAAAAGTTTTGTCTGCGCAATTGTGCTCTTTCCTGCAAAAAAATTATATCTATGAAGAATTTCAGTCAGGTTTCAGGCCCCACCATAGCACAGAAACGGCACTTGTTAAAATTACAAATGACTTGCTTCTTGCACCAGACCAAGGCTGCATCTCATTGCTAGTTTTACTTGATCTTAGTGCTGTGTTCAACACTATAGATCATGACATACTCATAGATCGATTACAAAACTATACAGGCATTCAAGGGCAGGCTTTAAGATGGTTTAGATCCTACCTGTCCAATCGCTACCATTTTGTTCATTTAAATGGGGAGTCATCTCAATTATCACCAGTAAAATATGGAGTGCCACAAGGATCTGTCCTAGGTCCTCTGCTATTTTTAATATACATGTTGCCCCTTGGTAATATTATTAGAAAATACGGGATTAGTTTCCACTGTTATGCTGATGATACTCAACTATATATCTCTACAATACCAGATGAAACTTCTAAATTATCTAAGCTAACAGAGTATGTTAAAAATGTAAAAGATTGGATGACCAATAATTTTCTCTTATTAAATTCAGATAAGGCAGATATATTACTTGTTGGACCAAAAGACAGTACACAGAATCTCTTGGATTACAATGTGCAAAAAGACGGATATACTGTTACTTCCTCTACAGTCAAAAATCTGGGTGTTACATTAGATGCTTCAGTCTGGATCCAGAACACCTGAGAAGAGATGATGCCAACCCCTCAGAGGACCTCAGATGATGTCAACCCTGAAACAACAAACAGAACTACCACATTTTGCTATAAGTTTGATTGCATCATATAATAATTGCTGTTAATAGTTTTCATCGTCTGTTTGATTACGTCTTTAATTGATTTTTCCATACATTTCTGCCATATGTACATTAACTGACAGTCACCACCAGTGTTGGGGAAAGTTACTTTTAAAAGTAATGCGTTACTCCATAAAAAAGTAACTAATTACGTTACTTTTTACGGAAAGTAATGTGTTACGTTACGTTACTTTTGCATTACTTTTTAAATCTGGACAGGGCTTGCTTGTTTGTTTTTAAAATAAAAAAGTTATATTTTTGACAAATATAAAAGCCTTTTCACAGCAAAAGTGAAATAAGCCTCAGGCTGAAGGGAAAGTACACGTACGTCCTTACAGTAGAATGCAGAAGAAGAAATTTCAACACACAAATGTTTGTCTAGAGTCATTTTTGCTTATTAGTACGGTTGAACCAGATCATCGAAGGTCAGAAGCAAAGACATTGGTTAATAGAATGGGATTAAATAAATAAA